GAAAGCAATCAGGCTCTCCTGATACATAGCAATGCGTTTAAAAAAGGAAACCGTCAACTTGAAACTCATATTTTAATCAAAAGTCCACTCCACCTTCAGCATCTTAATACACACTGAAGCTCTGAACAAACTAATGCATACATTCTTTAGGTCTTGGCCATGAAAACATTGATAAGGGATATTTGGTGATAAGGGAATGGACAGATAAAGCTTCTAAAAGCTGTTTTTTTTTGTTGTTTAGCTCTGAGCTGCTATCTTTCTTTCAGACATTCTCAACATAATCAGCATCCGCATGCAGACGCAGCATTAATCAATCAAGCGGACAGGACGTTTTATCCAGCATCTTTCTAATTACAGATTTTTAATTGAATTTAAAAGGCATCAGATTTGTTATTAGACCTGACATTTTATATTTCCAGTGGACTGGCCCAATGGACTGGTGCTACTTCAAGTATTGAGGAGCAGATTTCATGCGCCTATAGTGTCTTATAATTCTGTAAGATCCTAGCAGAGTAGGTTATGTAGTAGTCTGTCATGCAAAGAGGAGGAATAAACAGCGTATTTATTCAATGTTCCATTATTTGCTGCTCCTCAGGTCACTTTGAGGATGTCATGCTCTTTTTTGAAGTCCTGCCTCTTCAAAGGCGCCCAATCTAATCAGATTAGTCGGGGAAACAGACAAAGAACGACGAAAAAGAGCTGGTTGTTTTCTTCGTTTTGACGTGAAACCGCCGAGGCCGCGTTTTATAAATGCATTACATGCTGATGTAAAAGAGGGAGATGGAAGAAAAGCCTAGACTACAAATTATGCATGTCGGGATAGTTGGGGGCTGAATCTGCTGTGGGAGATAATTAATGCTTTTGGTATGAACTTGAGCTATCTGACTTTGCAGACCTCTTACTTCCTTAATAAGAGTTATGTACATTAATGCTGATGAAAACGAAGAAACTGAAACACACAAAGGCTCTAATTAAGTCACCAACGCTTGAGTGCAGATTGTCACAAAGCCCACCCTTTTTCTGTCTCCTATATTAGCTTTATGAGGATCTGCAATCGGAGGAAAATGCTTCCTTCGCTGACAGGCAGAGCCGCAATTTTCTGTTGATGGGGCTGCGTCGGTGGAAAGGGCCACCAATTTTGAGCATCAGGAGAGGCTCAAGATTGGTGGCTCTTTAAAATCCCTTAATGATCACCATTTGCAAAGAGCAAAAAGATCTATTTTCTCAGAAAAGAAGGGTCATTTGTGGGTTATTTATGTTACATAACGTGCTGTCACGCCTCCAGGGCCACATGTCTGGGAGTGAATGCACATTTTTCTCAAGGATGTAGTCGTTCTTTGTTGATGAACCAAATTTCTTTTCAAACTGCAAGTAAAGCAGGATGAAATAGTCTTGCGAGAGTAGGGACAGTCTGAGTCGGAACTAGGATCAACTCACCTCTACTTAGGTGTAAAGCTAATAGCAAACTGATGACAATCTTAAAAGCAGCAGCCATCGTCATGGTGGGCCGAGTTGTCTGGGAATGAGAGAGACATTTGGAAAAATTACAGAGGAAATGAATAGGGTCAATTCAGGTGAATAGGCTGTCAAACGCAAACCAATAAACCAGTAAAATCCATGCATCAGTACTGACACAAATGATGCAAAACCAGGCGAACCAAGACATAAATGCATGACATTTGCCATTATATTCATGCTTTACTCAATTTGTATTTCAGTTTAATCTATATGATCTATATGTTTAACATGAGACAGAGTTTCAGCTTAGAAATAATATAATACATTTTAAAAAAAGGGTTGTAGACGAGTTTGATCAAAGATCAAATTCTTTCGATGTCTTTTGCCTTTATAAATCACTCCAAATAGTACATAATAGTTCATAAAAGAAAAGCCAGATAAAATTCAAGTGATAGAAATCTGGCAGAATTGCTTGTCAAAAGACGGTGTGCAGCATGTTAGAAGACATAAAAGAAATCCTCTGTGTATAGACTGTATGAGAACCTACATTTGCCGTTAACTAAATGGGTCTGGAAACGAGGACTTTCCATTTGAACTCACAGCACAGAATGTGAAGAGTCCGTCCCCCCCCTGCCGTAGTCAGGCGTCAAAGATGCAACAAGCTCCTAAACCAGAAAGTCAGGAAAAAAACACAGATCATCCATTCCTCCTCCACCAGGACGAAGGAGAACACATCGGTTGAGTGGGAGCGATTTTCCAGCCTGCAGCTGCTCAGGCGACAGCAGCCTCTCTGCTTCAGAAGGAATGATAGAAAAAAAAAAGTCTATTACAAATGCTCAGAGGAGCTGTGACACCCCCCCCCAACCCCTCCTCCTTGTTCTTGCTTCACCAGACATTTGTGTGCTCACCTCCTTGCTCTTTTCTTTCAGCCTTGCTCTGCAGGAGGCTGGGGAAAGGTGTCTACCTCTCTCAATTAAAAAAAAAAAGAGAGAGAGTGGAGCTGCGACAAAGACTTGGCAAGAATGAGCTTCACATTTAATGAAACAGCCTGCTTTCCCTCCTCCATCGGCAGGAGAGAGATTGAGACCGAGTCAAAGATGCGATTCAGTGGAAATTTGGAAGGTTCTAGCTCCAAAGATGGAAAACCTTTGTATTCTGCTATTAGACAAAGTTTTGTATCTGACAGGTCACACACACAACATTTTTTTAAATTAAATTAACCAAAGCAGACACAGGAATCATGGCGAATAGAAAAAAAAGTTAGAATACAGTGGTAAGTATATATGATCCTTACCAGATCTCAAACGAGGTGGATACAGACAAACCCCCTTTTCAATCCAATTCATCAGTCTAATTCAAACTGACACAATCCAAAAGGCGTGTGTGAAATACAAAGCACACTCCATGATTCAGTATCATGTAGAGACATCCTGAGTGCCAAATCTTAATTAGCTTCCAGTTAATCAGTTTCTGTACCACGTTATCAGTCAAACATGTCTTTTGGAGGATTTACAGCCCTTTGCACAAAGCGTTGAGTGCAATGTTCCGGCCTCAGGGTTTAAATCAAGTTGAGGTCTGAGAACTGTATCAATGGGTCTTAACAAGACTTTCCTTCGATTGACAGTGTGTTGGGAAAGAGGGACTGAAACCTCACGGAAAATGCGAGTGATTCTGAAAAAGACAACAAAACCTTTTACAATTATCTGCTCTTTCTGTAAAAAAAAAAAAAACAATGAACGTCCTATGGCCTCTGTGGGCTGTCCAGGCATCATGAGCACTGTCATGACAACAGGGAAAACAAAACAAAAGTCAACAATAGACATTTTAAAAGCTTAAGCAGCAGCATCACCGGTAGCGACGACATACAGGAAACACCTCAGATCAGTACAGCGACTGTAAAGAAGCAAAACAAAAACACGCGCCTGGGTGAGTGAAAGCAGGGTCAGTTCTCTGCTGTGTCCCAGGAGTAGATGTGGGGATGATCATGAAATGAAGCATTCACGGAGCACCGGCAGCCGCCAGCAGCTCTCCTCCTTAGCTCTGTGTTAAACGCAAGCGCTCGGAGATGATAATCATCATTTAATCTGCTGCATTCGATTAGCAGCACCTGGCTGATACTCAGCCTCTTTAATTGCTATGGAAACAGAAATGACATACTGGAGTTTTTACAACCCTTTTTCTCTGCATATTTTCTCTACTTTTTGTTAAATCAAAAAGAAAGTATACATCTCTCCTAGTGCGATGATGGCAACATATATTTGCATTACATGTGATGTGATGGATAAATATATCACAATCCTTGATATATAATTGAAATCCATTTGTTTTCTGAATCTAGGATTGGAAAAACAATGTGACTAGGTCGTACTTTTTGTTTAAATTCCGCCACAGATCAGGGAACTGTGTTTTATCAGCAGGTAGCTGAAATGTGGGTCTTTTGGCCATCGTCAAAGAAATCTATGAAGGTCACAAAGATCCAAAAGCGTAAAATGAAATTGTTCTAGAGGGGAAAAAGGGCCTCGCAATGTGTTGATAAGTCAGGTGAGGTTCCATCCAGACCGACTCTCTGATGCTCCATACTCAGTATCTGCTGAGGACATGCGCTTCCTCCGTGTGTCGTACACATCCATTAGGTGACCAGTGGTCAGAAACGTGACTGCTCTCCTTTTTTCTTTTTTTTCCAAGTCAATTTGCGCTGGCACTCTGAAGCATTACCGATGGAACAAAGATGAAAAAAAAAAGCATCGCTGTGAGACTTGAATGAGAAATTGCCCTGTTGCAGCTGTCAAAAAGCGAGGAAAAGGCAAGCTGAACAAAACACTCATTCAAGCAGTCCTTACTTTCAAGGATTGGGGGTATAAGCTTCATTTGCACGAGTCTCAATGTTGAACATATGGTGAAGGTAAAGAGGGGATGAGTGGAATAGAAAACAAGAAACAATGTAATTGGGTTGCTGTGCCACCGTAAAATATCCATTTAGTGTTATTTTTTTTAAGACAAAATGTGGCAATTACCATCCTTCAAATGTCAGGATGTGCATATAACGTCAGCAACATGTGTAAAGTGCTAAAGAACAGAAGATGATAGTTGGGCTACAAAGATGCAAAATGTGACTGATGAAGAGGGAGAAGCCATTTAACAGGAAGAAAAAATCTCACAGTTGCTTCATAATTGCCACTCTTGACTGCTCTGTCTCCAGACAATAGAGCACAAAAAAATAGAACAGGCAGTGAAACACATGTTTTTTGGGTTCTCTAACAGAAAAGAATTACTGAAAGCCAATAGTATGATAAAAACATAAGAGGAGAATGTTCATTTGTAACCATGACAGGGTTGAAAAAAAGTTGGCTTTCACATAACATAGCTTATATATGTACAGAACAGACTAAGCAATAAAAACTTGGTTCAAATGATTGGTTATCTTTAATAAAAACATAAATAAGTCACAACAACCACTCTTGAGACGCACAAAAGCAGTTTGTATTGATATTACTGAAACAAACGCCTTCACTTAAATGGCGACAGACAGTTTTTCTTCTTGACTCTAAAAATTTAACACATGCTCCGTTTTCCACGTACGATGAAAGTTTATACTAACTATTTCCGAAATGCGTTCTTAACTAAATGGAAACAGAAACGCTTTTAATGCTCTGGGTTAAAAAAAAACATGGTTTCCGAAAAGAAAGCAGAAAAAGATGAAGGTGCAAATCATTTTTTGGGGTTTTGTTTCTGTTTTTTTTGTTGTTTTTTTTATAGGCGCACAACCTCATTTTTGGACTTATCGTTAAAAGTTCCATTCCTCCCTCCATCCAGTCACACCTGGACCCCCCCCCCTCTCAGTCGTTGCCTCTGTGTCTGGGTTTCAGCGAGGAGCACCCGGCGCAGCCCCTCTCCTTGGCGTGGTAGTCGAAGCGCGGCAGCACCAGAATGCTGCCCTCCGGCTCGCCGGACGCCCGCTGCTCCTCCACCGACATGATGCTCTTCACCAGGCACGAGATGGCCGCGTCGATGTTGGTGTTGTCCTGAGCGGGAGAGAGGGGGGGGGGGGGCGTCCAGTAGAGAAAAATGTTAAAAATAGTTAAAAATCGTTTTTTCCCCTTCTTTTTAGGTTTGTTCTTTAATTCTCTCCAATATTTTTTTATATAGTTCCTTTTTTTTTTTTTTTTTTTTTTTTGGGGCCTTATTTGGTTTAAAAAAAAACAGCTCGACAGATTATTTTGCTCTTCCACAAAGTGTCAATCTTATTGTGCGTTTTGTTGAATATGTGTGAAAAATGTATCTGATTTATTTTGCAATTAAGGATTGTTTTTTTTTTTTCTGGTGCAGAGATCAAGTATGGACTAAAGTTTAAAGCATTTAAGGTGACTACTGATTACCGGAGGGTGAGTTTCTGTCAAACTAATAAAAATAATAACATGGAGAAAGGGAGCAAATCTTCTTACAGGAGTCAAATGTTCGGCAACTTTCACCTGAAAGAAACATTTCTCAGGATTTGGCAGCACAGTGGACTCCGGGCGATCAGAATCAGTTCAGTTCATTTACAGAGAAGGTCAGATGAGAGAATAATGGCAGAAAAAAAAAAGGCAGGGGGAAAAAAAGACCTAAGAACTACATCTTGCCTTGGCCGAGGTTTCGTACCAGCCCACGAATCCGTATTCCTGGGAAAAGTTCTCCAGCTTCGGCAGTTTAGGGCACAGGCCGTGAAGACGCTGGTCACACTTGTTGGCCAGCAGAACGACTGGGACCGGCCTCCCGTTGCTCAGGGCAACCTGATGAAACAGAGGGCAGGTTAAGAAACACCGAAAACATATCGCGGTGTCTCAATAACTGCCACCCGAATCTGAGGCTCAGCCTGTCGTCAAGACGTCAAACCTATACATTTCCCGTTATTTGGTTGGAAATACAGTGAATCCAGGGTCAGAGTTCAAGACAATCTCTGCTCGTGGCAATCAAACCAAACTAAACTAAACAAAAGAGGTGGAGGTCCGACACAAAAACACTCAAGATGACACGGCAAAAAATTTTAAATCAACTGGATTCCAAAAAGTCGCCAAAAGTATATTGGAAAACTCTGCTTCTTTGCTAAATCGGTGTCTCCGAAAGTTTTTTCGTCATTCCCTGGTCCTCAACCATCCAACTTGTGCTTACCTTGGAATCGAGATCTCCTTTCCACTTCAGGACGGCCTGAAATGTGGACAGCCTGGTCATGTCGAAGACCACCAGCGCCCCCACCGCCTCCCTGTAGTACACGCGGGTCATGTTTCCGTAGCGTTCTTGTCCTTGTAAAAGGGGGCAAAAAAGAAGACCCGCGCTATTCTTTTTTGCGTGTTTTTTCCTGCCACGGTCGTCATAGCGAGTTGAATTACCAGCCATCAGCGCGATTAGAAAAAAAAAAGTAAACTACATACTTCAGAAAGTCCCATTTCGCTGCCCTGTATCACTGCAAGCGCCCAGATGATCATGACATAACTCGGTTACATACCTGAAATTAGACTTTAATGAAACTTAACATCATTACTTTAAATAAATGAACAAAGGCGCTTTCTCTTAACACATAAATGTCTATTTATCACTCTAACTGGGCCACTAAATAACTTCATTTGCGAATGCTAAAACTGAATTAAGTTCATTCTCCAGACTTGATTTGGTTCAGTCCTTTTAGCGTCTTTAGAATATGGGATAACGGAAGGAAACAAACAACTGCAGATTCAAAGTTCTGGACTGCGTCCTCTGAATCTCCTTCCCTTCTACGAAATGAGTGGAAGTTATAAAGGTGATCTAAATCAGCAGTGTAGCACGCATCAAATAAACTAAATATCTATAAATATCACCCATATTTTTCTTTGCATTTCAACAGAATTGTAGAATTTTTTCTTTTTTCCAAGTCAATACTTAAACCAGGAAATATAGATGGTTTTAATAATGGATGTCTGTGCTTTTGTCATAGTGTTACACTGGTTGTTTTGTTTTTTTCCGAGCTGCAGGCCGGACTCTCCAGAAAAGTAGAAGTCCTCTAACTCCGAGTGTGGCTTCTGCTTTTCTGCTGTCACGGTTGCATCAAGCGTCAGCAAGGAGCTGCTCACAGGGACTGACAGCCACAAGCAGGTTCTTACAAGACTGCCAATGCCTCTTGCATAATCAGGTCACCTCGTGATTATTTTAGGTGCTCCATGGGCACTTACCAGATCATCCCTGCGCCTTGAGATCTAGAATTGGTGACTCTTCCTGTTGTCCTGACCTGCTAAACTCACCTGGGCCTACTCTTAAGCTCCTGTAAGGTACTTGGTTCCATGAACGGGACTCAAATTTGCCATTTTCCTATCAAAAGTCACTATATATTTAAAGCTTCTGTGATTGCGTCTATGTTAATCAGCCCAGTGCTCTTAACCATTAATGTGATCCTAATGTGGACATCTATTGTCCATCTATTGGCCTCTCAGCTGGGGGCGACAAGGCAAAAATCCATTCACCTTTTGTTTATTCGTCAAAAGAGGTATTATAAATGTACTATCTCGATGGATGACAAAATGAAAAATGTTGTTATAAAGCCTTTACAGATTATTTTTGTTTTGAAATTCATTCACTAAAATGTTGAAAAGCAGCCTCAAATCTGACAAAGCCCATTTGTAACTCGATTTATAAAGGCCACTGCACTGAACTTTAATAAAAAAAACAGGACTCAATTCCCTCTTCTCTATTCTGAAGCTGACCATGTCGAGTTTTGTTCTTGGCTTAAACCATTTGAATTGGAATCTGGGAGAAGTTGGATGATCCGGCCAGACAGACCGGTCTGAAATATACTCACTGGTACACACATAGAAATGCTAAAGATTCAAAGATACTTTTAAAAAGAGGCCCATTTTCAGATAAAAGGTGAACTATAAATACACATAGAATCACCACGAAGAAAGTAGAATATATACAAAAATGGACTCATACTGTTTAATTGATACACAAGAGCAATTTTCAGACCTGCGTTCCACTCATGGAAAAATACAGCGTAAAAACACGATTTGCTCACATCCGTGCATGCGCACGCGTAAACGTGCATGTTGAGTTGCACGTCCAACCTGAACCCATGAATAAGGCTCTATCCTGGTGGCTAACTTCCCCCACATGATCCCAATAGAGAGGTGAATCACCATGTGAGCGTCTGAGTGACACGCAGCACATGACCGACGGAGCACAGAAAAGCTCGGACACCTCAAGTACCAGCGGTCTGAGAGAAACGCGCCGAGAACAGTTGCCATTTGTCTCTTTGACCCACTAAAACCTTTCCTGGAATCAATCAGGGAACACAGTCACTGTAGACCATTTTTCAGTGCTGCAGCCTCACCATAAAAAGTTAGTATTTAAATGGGTCATAAATACAGTTAAACAAAAAAATGCAGCTTTTAAATGTTTTTTTTTCAAATGTGGGCGAAGACAAACCACAAAAATGATTTATTTTGAATGCTATAATGTACACAAACTGGATAAAAAAAAGTAACAACTGCCAACCAGAGGATGACTACTAATGTTACAGCAACATAAAGAGATACCATTAGACCACAACTTTAGTTAATCCTAATTTTCTTTGGAAATTGGCACCTTAGAATTGTTTTTTTTTTTTCTTGCAGAAAGGTTGAATCAATCCGTTTTTATCTTTTTTATTTTCATGCTTCGCTGTTGTCAGTATAAGAGCCTCCACATGACATGTCAATGGAATTATGGGCAGAGAACAGGTCGGTTGTGTACCCTCTCAAAACCCACAGTGATCCACTTTCAATATTAGCATGCACGTTTATGTTCAAACTTTTGTTGCCTTGACTCATTTACCTCAGGATATTCTCACCAGTCTCGTGCCTATGGGCAACACGTAGGTTAAGCCAGGAGACAGTTGGTTTAACAGGACTTCTATCATACCTCTATGGGTAGTTTTTCCACCGATTAAACAAACAAACATCCTTTTTATGTTAATGCATTTTAGGTTTTATCCAAAGCGACTTACAATGCAGCTTCAAAATTACAGTTAGCATAGAAGAAAATCACGATTCAGACTCTGTCGTGGCGTTTTTTCCGTTATTGCTTACTTAGCCCTACCCAGTTTGGACCGGCACCGCTCCACAGGGTTTTTTGGGGTGGTTTTCCATTACAGATTACTGTGGCTGTGTAGGTACCAAAGTTGTAACTGTTGTGTGGGACCAGCCCCTTAGTGGAAATGCAAAAATACAGTCTAGTGCCGTGCCATACTGTGCCGTGCCGTGTAGGCAGTGGAAATGCACCATTAGAGGAAACGGTGGTGACAGTGTAGAGATAGAGGGAAGTACTGACAGAGTTGTAGAAGTACAGGGCAAGAGTCAGAAAAAGAGATGCTTTCTTAGGAGCTGGATTTCCAAGAGTTTTCTTAAGATGGACAAGGACGCACCTGTTCATGTAGCATTGATTTACAAATGAAAACATTGACACCAAATGGTAAAAAGCGAAATGATAGAGGCTTGCTAGCATCCTATTTGGGCAATCTTTACTCTAAAATGGTGCATTCCTGACAGTGTTATTTGCACCTTCATTAGCAGAAGTCTTTAGATTTTTATGGAGAGAATCATCAATGATTGTAAATCAACGAATTTCAAGCGTTCCTTGCTTTGAGTTAAAGATAATTTTTGCTTGTCATATAATGCAGAACTTCTGCAACGATATCTATCAAACCAGTCGAGAGCTCAAACAGTCCAAACTTCCTGGCAATAAAGGAACAACATGGTGTTAGATTAAAAAAAAAGACATGACTTCAGCTTTAAGTCTTATGTTGTCACCATAGGAGATAAAACCTGTGTTTAGGGGTGGAAGTCATAAACCGTTCCATGTCCTTGCCGAGCTTTAGTTTAATCTCCTCCTGAAAAGCATAAATGCACAAGACAAAACAGCAGTAATGCCATTAATCTGCTCCTCGGAACCACGGCTGCCAGTCTAAGGTTTGACGCCTGACCGCTTCCTCATGCAAATGAGGGCCTCTTTGGGTTGTCGCATGGTTTGACAACGCCAGCACGAGGATACCGCGCGTTTCACCGTCCCCGTGGGGAACAGAGGCAGCTGTGGGACAGCGGGAACGCAATCCGAACAAATCGAATTACCTGCAATTGTGGCGGCGTGGTGGTTTCGTAATCTGAGCACAAGGAGCTTTTCTTGTGATGTGCATACGCAGGGCCCGGCCGTTTGCCACATTTTAAGGGCCATGGCTCGTCACGTCGTGCATCCTCTTTGTCGGGTGCGTCAGCAATATGCCGCCGGCAATTGCGAAAATGCTTGTTTTCTGAATGTGTACTCTATGGTTTAACCATAGAGTACACATTGGAACAGGGGTGTTTTCCATTGTGTTGGAACAGCCCTGTGCTGTATACCAACCGAGTAGTAAAAGATAGAGGTAGTAAGGCAAATTGACCCATCTCAATCATTCATATATTCATTAATTTGCTACACTGCTTATTCCCAGTAGGGTTAGCCTAACATGTCTGATTTTGGGGGAGGAAGCTGGAGAACATGCATCTTCATCCATCCGTCCATCCAATGTCTATACCTCTTATTCATAGTGGGGTCAGGGGTGGTGGCTGGAGTCTATTCCAGCTGGACAGGTGGCCAGTCCACCACAGGAGCGCACAGAGACAAACAACCACACACATGCAGACACTGCAAACTCCATGCAGAAAGGCCCCTCCAAACTCTAAAGGAACTTGGTGCAGAGTGCAATACCAGGCCAAATGAGGATTTTAAGTATTCTTAAACTGATTTCTTAAACTTTGCAAAGTATGGCAAAACCTTATCCACCCATTTATCGTTCTCCTCCGAATGGCTTAGAAAGACCTGAATTTACACGAACCAGACTGTTCCGTCTCCTTGTTTTTTTTATACAACAAGTCACAATAATGCCTCCTTTTTGTTGAGCCATCTTAAAGAATTCCCAGAACTAAACTTGATGGGATACGCTGACACTCCGAATCATGAGGCTGGAAAGTTCTGTTCCGAAACGCCCTGACTCCACATTCCAAGACACGCCGCAATGTTTTTAAAAACATCTTAGTCTGTTTCATGTTTTATGTCCTTGCTCTAGGCCCTGTGGTGGACGCCTTTCACCCATCGTCTGCTGGGATTGGCCACTGGGAATGACCACTATAGAATACCGATGGATGGGATGTCCTGGCTTGAACCGATCTGAGCTTTTTTCAGGGCTAATCCTACCAACTTTTGATCTGATCGACACGAGTGAATTTATGTGTGAATCGGGCTCTTATCAATCTAATTCAAATGAAAAAAGAATGACTCACTCGACCTGAAATGACCAGATCTTTTTCTTATATCATTTGTCTACCCAGAAGCATATGGAGACTTGAACACACCTCACAAAGCTGTGTCTTCAAACCTCAAAATTCAGACATTATTTCATAGGAATCGTTTCGATCTTGTCCATTCTGTTTCCCTTTCCACTTTGCTGTTGAGCGAGTCGAATAAAATTTGGCTTTCTGCCGATAAGGGGCTGACCTCGGGCCAGTCCTCAGATACGGATGCTGTTTTGACCTATGGCAGAGGCGAGACGTGAACTCACCGGCGATGTCCCACAGCTGGAGGCGCACCACCGTCTTGTGATCCCAGTTGAGGACTTTGAGGGCGAAGTCCACTCCGATCGTGGCCCTGTAGTGCTGCGAGAAGACCTGGTGGACGTAGCGCTTTATGATGGACGTTTTCCCCACGCCCAGGTCGCCGATGACCAGAACTTTGAGCAGGCGCTCGTGCTGCATGGCCGCGTTAGGGAGAAAAAGAGACGGCCAAGTGGGATGTCCCGAGCTACGGGCTTCTCATTAGAAAGAGTAGCCAAGTGCGTAGAGACCATCAAATAAAAAACAACAACAAGGAACTAGGAACGTCCTCCTATAAATAAGATTTCAAATCCTGTTTCCACTCGCGTCAGAATCCCCGCAGAAAAGGCGCACTTAGAATAAAACTTGAACTCTTCTGCGTAAACAGAGAAAGCATCATGTGCGTAAAAAAAAAAATCCAAATACGAGATAAAAGTTGTATAATAGAGTCTTTTCCTGCCCAAAAAACATCTGCCTTAGAGTCCTCGGAGGTGCTCTTAGTCGTGTCCCAGACAGGCGCGTGCAAAACTTTACTAAACAGAGAGAGACAACCTTGAACGAAAGAAGAAAAGAGGAGGAGGGAGTGGTGGCAGTTATCTGTGGGGTGTGCGGTCTGTGTGCGCCTTTCCGCCTGCACTTCGGTTGCCTGCCATGTCCGCGGAGCTGTGCGGAGACAGCCCGGGCTGTCAGCACTTTGTTCCGGGGTGTTCTGTCAGGTCAGCATACCCCGACAGACCAGCGTGCCCACAGTCTTACGCATGCGCGAACTGCGAAAAGTAGCGAACACTTGTAACTTGTAACCATAACAAAAGGGATACACGCCTGTTGAGGTAGTTTAAAGTGTATTTACAGAAGGGTCTAGCTGCACCTGCAGCCATCTACAAAACGCATCCCCATACAAAACACACCTCCCGCCCAGCCAATCGTTGATTTTGATTTGGACATTACGCCATCTTGGATACAGATTAATTGAAGTGAATCAAACGTGAGCATGATGCTTACTACCAGCAAGGTTGTAGTTAGCACATAAAAAGTAATGATAATCTTGTTCAATGTTGGGATTAAAGGAACAGTTCAATCGATGATCGTTTTTTATTTGCTTATATCTTCTCATTTTCCAGGGACTGCAC